GGCCAACATGGTGAAACCCCATCTCTACTAAAAATACATGGTGACTGTGCCTATAGTCCCAGCTACTTGGGAGGCTGAGGCATGAGAATCACTTAAACCAGGGAGGCAGAGGTTGCAGTGAGCCAAGATGGCACCACTGCACTCCAGCCTGGGTGACAGAGTGAGACTCCAACTCAAAATAAATAAACAAATGAAAATAAATAAATAAATAAATAAATAAATAGATAGATAGATAGATAGATAGCCAACAGAGGAGAAAGAATGAAGTACTAAAACATGCTTGACCAGCTCAAGGCAATACAGGTAAGACAGAACAAAGGTAGGATATAAAATAAATAGCAAGATGGTAGCCCTAACAGAACCATATCGATAATTACATAAAATTTAAATCAACTAAACACTCAGGAGGCACAGGTTGTCAGGATGAATATTTTTTTTTTTAAAGAAGGATCCAGTGACACGCTGTTTACAAGAAGACACTTGCAGGGACAAACAGGATGAAAGCAAATGAATAGAGAAACACACACCACGCAAACAGTGACCTTGAAACGCACCCTCCAGATAACCTCAGTTCGTTTTCCTGTGTGCTTGGCAACCCCTGTTTCCTGTTCCCAGTCACACAACCAGGCTGTGTTCCCTAGTGTTCCTTGCAGTCACCCAGCGGTGGTGTAGGTCGGGCCAAGGGACAATGAGTGGAAGGGAGGTGCATCATCACCATTAGGCACCAGGAAGTCACCAGAAGCCCCTGCCACAGGCTTCCCCATGCTCTCTTCCAGTTCCAAGTGGCTGGAACGGAGACCACCCTCAGGACAGGGGCCACATATGGAAGAGGGAAGAGCCACATGCTAGAAGCAGCTGGGGACCTGGAATCACTGTGGAAGGAGAGGTGTCTGGCCAGGGGCACTCACCCTGTACTTTTATGACAGCAACAAATAAATATGTGTGTGTGCATGCGTGTGGGTGTGTGTGTATGTGCATGTGAGTGTGTGAGTATGTGCGTGTGTGTGTAGCCACTGAGATAGCTGTTTCATTTTGCTTTACTTTAATAATACTCTGTACTCGTATTTACTTTGCAGCCCACATTGCTTTCTTGAGATATATGATCTGATATTATAATTATGCATTCGTTTGATTGTTTGTCTAGTTGGTTATTTTCTGCTTGCCCTCAATAGAACAGGTGTCTAGAGCACAAGGACTGGTCTTTCTGTTCCTTACTGCACCACAGGGCATAAAACAGTACCTGGCACATAGTAGGTGTTTATTAAACACAAGACCTTTTTCTCTCATACTTGTGAGACCACAACAGTTGGAAGCCAAATCCTTGCGTGCTGACGCAAGGAATGATGCTATGGAGCACCCATAGGCAGGCCGGGGGTGGGGCAGGAGCATCTGTAGACCCTTAGGGAGCTCCATGGACCCCGTTTACTCATCCTTAGCAAAAATGCCCTCAGAGGCCCAGCAGCCGACCTGTGCCCGGTCCTGGTGATAGGGGTGGGTCCTTCCATGGTATTTTCTTGCTTACTTTTATGTCTCGCACAGAGATTACTCTGTGGATTACTTTGTTGTTTAACAAAGTTCGAGTCAAATGTAATTTTGTTCAATGTATTAAAATCCCAATTTCAAAACTCCAGTGCTTCCTTGAGACTTGAAATTTGGCGGATAAACGTTGTTCTACCTGTAACAGGCAAATGTTAATAACGTCCTTGATGAGGCCTGTAAATAATTCTTGGTCCATCACCGACTTAGTTCATTTAATAGTTTTGAACATTTTGATTGCACTTCCAAAATGAATATGTTTAAATTGATGTTTTAGTCCTTCAGCTTTCTACCTTTAGCAAAGCCTTCTGAGTATAAACTAGTTTTTCAAAATCTAATAATTTAAACATAGGACTGTGATGAACTTAGGGGAGGTCTCTTAAATGTTCCAAAACTGTACGCACTAACTCGTTCAATTCCTCGATTTCACACTTTCAATTGGATTATCAGGGTGTCACTGACATAGGCCAAATTCTCCACTACTCAAAATACCAAATTGGCATAGATTGCTTTATGCTAAAATATTCATACTATGAAATTCAATTTCTCGATCCTGTCTAGACTTTAGAAGAAATGCACACCTACCCAGGAGGCCGTCTCTACTCAGGGAGCCCAGGTGACTAATGGCCAGGGAATCTGGGCAGCCTGCCGTGGGCTTTCAGCTACCAGTTCTGAGGGGCTTACTGTTTCTGTGTGAGTCTTGCCCATGACACTTTGGTGAGAAGAGAAGGTGCCAGGAGGGAGGCCACATCTCCGGGTTCCGTTTCCACACACCCCTGGGAGTCTGCCCTTCCCAGCCACGTTCTGCTCACACTGGGTCTGGCACGGTCAGAGTCGAGGCCTTTGAACGGCTTTGTGTTTTCAGGCCCATAGGATGCCAGGGACCTGGAGCTGGTCTGCCATGGAGGAACCTCACAGGGCTTTTTCCACTTGGGTTCATGATTCTCACCCTTCTGACACCTGCACAGGGACCAGTGGTGGTGCAACTGGGGCCACAGCCTGCCACCTCTCCCTCATGGGACTGAACCCGAGGCCAGCGTTTCTTCAGGATTTTGCTCTCCTTTAAGAGGTGCGGATAACCTCACTTCGAAGCTGGGGCCAATTCACCAATTACCCTGTTCAGGGGGCAGGTGTCCAGTGGCCCCTGTGAGCAATTTCATGCCACCCTTCCCCACCCCTGCCTCCGCTCCCACCTGAAGCTGCTTCTGTCTCATTCACACTCCTGCCTCTTTGCAGCACTGGCTTGGACAGGAACCTGATCCAGTGCCCGCGTGCCGCTCCTTGGCAAGGCTCCTGGTCTGCTCATACCACTTTTCTCCAGCCAATGTCCTCTAGGGTTGGAACCAACTCCCTGCATGCTGGCCCAGGGAGGTCCCTGGTAATTGTCCTGTGTCCCTCTCCCTCCCCTGGGAACCACCTCAGACCGCAGTGGATGTTCCTAAATTTCTGTGGACTCACAGCAGCTTCTCGGTCAGTGATCTCCTCAAGGGCTGGATTCCACAAGCCCTTCTGTCCTGCTGCGGGCCTCAGGCAGTGTTCCCGCCAAGCTTTCCCTAAAGACACAAACAGGCAGGCCTTTCCACACCGGCCTCAGGGAGCCTTCTGCTGGGCAGAGCGTCCCTGCCAAGGGAAGCCAGGCTCGTTAAGTGGGAAGTCTGTGGGGCCTGCGGAAGGCAGCAGCCCTGAGGCTGTTCCACTGCCAGTTGGTGCCACCAAGCCGTCAGGAGGGAGTGGCCTTCCCCACTGTGGTTGGGAAATGGAGACAGAGGTTACAGTGGGCGGCTGCAGCCCTATAAGAACCACGGAGTTCCTTCAGTGGCAAAAACCAGAGCCACAAAGGCTGAGCCAAGCTGCCGTGGCCATGGGACCTGCTTTCCTCACCCTCTCCTTCCTGTGGACCACGGCCTTGACTGAGGACACCTGTCCAGGTGAGTCAGTCCCCCGGGGATTAGGACCTTAGAGTGATCACACTCTGGGAAGCTGACAGCGGCCACCTGCTGACCACTCACGGCACGCCAGGCCCGGTACTACGCCCTTTGTGAAGGTTCCTGCCTTAGTTTCTCAACAGCTCGTTTTAAGCCTCACACTTTAAAGAGCAGACAGAGGCTCAAAGAAACAGATGCAGCCTAACACAGGGGTTAGGAACAGAGCCCTGGGGCCAAACGGGCCAGGTCCCAAATTCAGAGCATGGAGCCGGGGAGCCTCCCCGGGGCCGAATCCTTCCCCACTGAAGGGCCGTCCTGAGAGTCCCACCAGCTGTGTGAGGAGACGGCGGGCGTACACGGCACTGGTGGGGATAGGCCTAGTCAGAGGCTGTGCCACGATCGTGTCACTGGAAGACCACCCCGCTGGACGTGGCCAGCAAAGTCAAGCCCCAGCTCTGCAGGGAAGTTGACCTGAGATGTGCCAGGCACTGGGGACAGGTGGTCCCCACTGTGTCCCTGATGTAGTCCAGTGAGGCCAATGTGGCCCCAGGGCTCCAGACCTCCTTCCCTGAGCTCCTGGGGGCACTCAGGTGATTCCCAGCAGCTCCACCTATAGCTCTGCCTTCTGGGGGAGGCTCTGGGCACCCCTGCATCGTGGCCATGCTGGAGTACATTGCTCTGAACTCAGAACCCGGGATGGCTTCCAAAAACCCTGGTGGGCCCCATGGCCTGAGCCTGCTCGTGGTGGACCAGGGGACCAAGGCAATGATGGGTCCCGTGGAGAAAAGCCCCGAGTGGGGCTAGGAAGAAAATGCACACCACAGAGGCCCTTCCCTGGTTATGTTATGAGTGAGTTAACTTTCTTCCCCCAAACCTGTCTTATTTTCTAGACTATCCAACATTACTAAGTATTCTTTTTTAATGAGAAAAATTAAGCAAATAAAAAAGTGGTCTACACTTGCTCTGACCAGTGAGCCAGGGGTGAGGACAGATTAAAAAAATAATCCACCAAGCAGTGGCAGCTGCCGTGTCTCCGGTGAGAGCGCTGCTCCGTTCCCCAGTCTCTAAGAGCGCCCTTAGCAGGGCATATTGATTTCATAATCAACAACATGAAAAATAGTTTTTCAAGGAAGTAGAAAACCCTTGGTTTGGCTCCAGCTGTGCCACACCTGGCTCTGTGTCCTTGGACCCCACACTGCCCCTCTCCAGAGGACCTAGAAAGCCCCTTCCAGCCCAGTAATTCCACAACCACATTCCCAAGGTCTGGGAGGGAAAATGCTTTGTCAGCCTCAATTCCCCAAGTTTCTTAGAAACACTGATTGTCGTTGGTTACTGCAAGTGCCCACTGTTTATTAAGCTCTTTCTAAATGCCACAAATTACACTAAGAGATTAAAATGCACATTCTCTAATCCAGCCCTGGCCACAGCCTTGTTATTATCCCCACTTCGCAGCCCAGGGCACAAAGCCCAGAGGAGTTAAGTGACTTGCCCCAGGACACACAGCACTGAGGAGATGGGGCTCCCCTAGGTAGTTAAGCAATGTCTCCAGGACACAGCACTGAGGAGATGGGGCTCCTCAGGCAGGAGGTGGCCTCTCAACCGCCGGTGGACTGCCCCCATCACGCCTCCCGCCACCAGTGCCCTGAGGGTGAGGACACCAAGGCCCCAGCAGATGGCAGAACCTCGCCTTTCCAGCCGACTGTTGGGCCAGGCACTGAGGCTCAGCTTCTGCAGAGGTGAAGGTGGTAGGCCTGAGGCCTCTGATGGTCACTTGACTCTGAGGGTGCCTGGCTGCCTGGGGCCCCAGGGCCAAGGGGAGAGGCAGGCGCCAATGGAAAGAGAGGTAGGTGCGGGCCGGCTGTGGAGGCCAGGCATGCCCAGCATGGAGTGGCACTGGCTCTTGCTCCTTTGGCTGGATGGGCTGGCACACTTCACCGTGTTCTGTGATTGAGATAACTGGCCCCTGTTAGAGCCAGGGATGAGCTTGACTTTATGGCCCAGTGGGAAGTGTTCTAAACGCTGAGGGGGCAGCCATCTTTTATGACTTAATGAGTGCCCAGTGAGCATGGCAGAAAACTTGGTTTCAGCCTGACCACACCATGCTGTGGCCTCTGTGACTGACTTGGTCTTATTCTCACCCTGGCCTGGGCTAACATCTCAGGACTAGTTTAGAGGAGGAAGCTGCGCTAAGGGAAGTGAGGGAAACGTTTTCAGGTTCTCACGCCAAGGGAAGATGACCACTGATGTTTGCATGGCTCACTTCAGTCCCGTGCCTTTGATGGGAACAAGAGAGCCTGAGGCCTGGTCCTGGTCAGAATCTTGGTGTGGCAGGCAAGCTCAGGTGGGGCCATGGTCAAGACTGCAGCAATGGCACGCAGGGTTCCCACGGCTATAGGAAGAGTCAGGCAGCCGCCAGCTCCAGGGGTGGGTCTCGGGTCCTGGGCAGGAGCCTCTGTTTAAGGTGGTGTCTTTGGCCTTGTAGGAGAATGCTTCGACCCCTGGGAAGGCAGGCCACCTGCGCCAAGGGTAAGGAGGAGATGAGAGTGAGGAGGCTTGTGGCCCTCTCAGACTCAGCTGCAGAGGAGCACATATCTTGGGGTTGCTGCACACTGTCTCGCCAGAACCCATGCCTGTCCAGGTAGCACCTGGATCAGCCCAGGGCAGAGATCAGCCTGGGGGAAGGCCCAGTGTGGGGGAGGGGGTTCAGTGGGAGGGTCTCATGTGGGGAAGCGGATCTCAGCCTGGGGGAGGGGTCTCAGTCTGGGGGGAGGGTCTCAAGTGGGGAGGGTCTCAGCTTGGGGGAGGGGTCTCAGTGTGGGAGGGCCTGGGTCAGGGGAGGGGTCTCAGGGGAGGCTCCATGGGGAGGGTCCCAGTCTGGGGGAAGGGTCTCAGTGGGGAGGGGTTCTACAGGGAGGGGGTCCTCAGCCTGGGGAGGGAACCTGGTCAGGGCACCAGTGTGGGGAGGGCCTCCCAGTGTGTGGAGGAGGGATTCTACGGGGAGGGGTCCATTCAGGTGATCTGGTCTGGGGTGTCCAGTGGAGGAGGGATCTCAGCCTGGGGGAGGGGTCTCAGTGTGGAGGAGGGATCTCAGCCTGGGGGAGGGGGTCTGTGTGTGGAGGAGGGATCTCAGCCTGGGGAGGGGTCCAGTGTGAGGAGGGATCTCGCCTGGGGAGGTCCTGGGGGAGGGATCTCAGTGGGGAGGGGTCTCAGTGTGGGGGAGGGATCTCAGCCTGGGGGAGAGGGTTCAGTCTGGGGAGGGTCCCAGTGGATATCCACCTGTGGGGCATTCCGAGACCAAGCCTTCCCTGGTCAAGGGCCTGGGCACCAGCTGGGGGTGGTGGTCAGGCAAACCAGCCACCTCTGCCAGCCCCTCTCCTCCTCCCATCTCATTCTGTCATCTACCAGGCAGGAGGCCCCCAGCTGCCGCTCGTGTTCCCCTCTGCCCCTGCAGGTGTTGGGTTTGGGGGCACTGTCAAAATATTATTGAGTGGACAGGGAATATTAATGACAAGCTCTGATCAGAGAGAATGGGGAAGATACACTAGAGGAGATCAAATAGAAATTTTATAATTCACGTGCAGATAGAAATACTATGATTTATCTGTTATGTGCGAGGAAGATCAATAGAATTGATTTGAGGGGTATGGTTATGATTTGATTAGGAGGTCCAGAGCGATCGTGGGTTGCAGGAAAGCAGCCCACACCCCCTCTCCTTCACTCCCGAGCTGCTCTGCGCGCCTTTGGCCCCACGCTATGAGAGGAATCTTTCACTCACCCAGGTCCACACATTTGTCTAACAAACATAAATGCCATCTGCCCAGACCTCACCTCACTCCCACCTCTCGTGCCAGATCTGAGAACACACACGGGCTGATTTAGCTCAGAGCCCTGGAAGCACCAAGGCTCTAGCTTAGACAGTGTGCAGGAGGAAGGGGCTACCGAACGCAGGCACAGTGACTCTGCTGCCTCCAGGGACAAGAAGGGCTGACAGTTACCCAGATGGCCAGGCACTGGCAGCTTTTCAGATAGGCAGGGCACACCTGCATGCTGGTACAGGAAAAAGTGAGGCAAGTGCCACCATCTTCTGCTCTGTGCTGGGGACAAGTTATCTGACTTCCAGAACCCTTTGTGTGTTTGCCTGTCTGTTCTAATTTGAGACGCTGTGAATCGATCAGCAGAACACAGTGGTGGCAGGACCCTGATCCTCCCGCCTCCACCTGCCCTAAGGGAACCCAGCCCAACTCACCTCCTACTATATCAACAGGAGCCGGGCAGTACTGGGATGTTGTGGAACCAGCCTTGAGGCTCTGCCTTTCTTCCTCTCTTGTTCAGCACAGATCCCAAAGAGACGGTGGGGCCTGTTATCCTGGCAGATGCCTGAAGAGCAGGGCATGGCTTCATGGCTAAAGCAAGGTACAAAATTAACACTGGAAAGGCTTGGCTCTGGGAGGTGAAGATGGGGGAAGCAATAGAGGTGAGGTCAGGTCGACTGGGCATGCCATCACAGCTGCATGACGCTGGGGGGCTATGTCCCCTGTCCAGGCCTAGGAGCCTGGCTTTGTCCACACAGAAGCTCGGTCTTGCCCTTCCCTTCCGGCCTCCTCCACTGGCTCCCTGCCCTGCCTGGGGCCTCATCTGTAGCCACTCCTCGGTTCCCCTCTCCCAGCTCACACTGCAAGGACCGGCTAGGCCGTGGCCTTCCCTGAGCGGCTGGTACACCATCTACCTGCCTGACTGCCGGCCCCTGACTGTGCTCTGTGACATGGACACGGACGGAGGGGGCTGGACCAGGAGTGGGGACTGAGGGGCCTGGCAGAGGCGGTCAACCTGGGGAGACCCAGAGCCCAGGCTACACCACAGAGAACACACTCTGGAATTTTCTATTCCCCTGCGATATGAGATGATGGGGAGACGAGGTGAAAAAGTCTAGCCATGGGGAGCCAGGGCCTGTTGCCTCCCCATGTGGCTTGGGCTTCATGGTCTCTCCTGAGCTCTGATTTCCCCACACTCCCGGGCCTGCAGAGGAGACCAGGGCATGCTGTGGACCAGCCTGCGATGTCTCCGGGCCAATCAAATGCTGCTCCTCTGGGAGGGCGGGTCCTCTGCCAGGATGCTTATCTGTCCCCCTGGCTCTGTCCCCGGCTCCTCCACAGTTTCTTCAGTGGAGGGTGACGCCTGGGTGGACTTCTACCGGGACTGCACGCAGAGGCAGGGGCTTCGGCAGTCGGCTCGTGAGTCTGTCAGGCTCACACATCTCCACGCCTGACCGGCCCAGGTAGGCCACTGCTGGGGCTTGGGGGTCAGGGGGCCCTGAATGGGGGTGCCCCTGCCCCTTAGGCCTGGGCTTCCTGGAACATAAGCGCCTCTTAGCCCACAGGGGATCGGGCCCTGAGCGCACTCAGGGTGGCACTGGGACCTCCGAGGGCTGCGTCCCCTGCCGCAGGCTGTGGCGGCATCGGGACAGGAGAGGGTTAGAGCTCCGGGCTGAAGGCCTCTTCAGGTCTTGGCCCCACTGACATCTCAGATCCTGAGCATGTAGAGAAAGAGAGAGACCATCGGGGCTTGGCCCAACCCCCAGCCCTAACTTCACTTCCCACTGTCTCCCCGTCCTAAAGCTGCTGTCTCAGGGGCAGAGGGACATTCCTCTCTGGGACCCCTCCTCTCATTCCTCCGGCCAGACCACAGCCCTCAGCAGGAGTGAGGACAGCATCTTCATCCTCCCGCCACCAGCTCCAGCGTATCAGCTGGTCCCTGATCCTGGGGAAACTGGAAAATGGTCCCTTTCCTCCCCAGGAGCCCATTCCGAGCTCCTAAGCCACCTCCTCGTGTTTGCTGTGACCTTTCCACGTAAAGGAAGGACTGCAGTATTTTCCCACAGTGAGGATCGGTGACCTCACAGCCCATTCCAGGGAAATGTACAGTTCCTTGATGAAGTAAAGTGATATTTGTAGGAGGGGGGAAACTCCAGGTTCAGCGGGTGGACCTGAGGGAGTAGGTCCTCCCAATCCCTCCTACCACAGACGACTTTCTGCATGAACTTGAGGAAACTTTCTGTGGATCACAAGTTCAGACATCTGAAAACACTCCAATTCCCACCTCCGGTTCCTAGAGGCAGAAGGGCCCTTGGGCTGGGAGCTTGAAACCTTTCTCCCACAGGAACCAGCGAGCTCCGTGTAGACCTGGTGGATTTTGAGGGCAATCGCCAATTTGCTAAGTACAGATCATTCAAGGTGGCCAGTGAGGCGGAGAAGTACAAGCTGGTCCTGGGGACCTTTGTGGAGGGCAGTGCGGGTGAGTGTCTGTGTGGGCTGAGTGGCCTGGGCCTCTGAGGGGGGCTGGGGAAGGGGAGACAGCGTGCTTAGCATCTGGCTATGCCTCTGCTGTGTGACGTTGGGGGGTGACTTAACCTGTCCAACCCACAAACCCACAATCTGTTCATCCGTCAATTCACCCAGTTTATTGTACTTGTGAAAATTATGATCCACATGTCATAAAAAGTACAATACGTAGTGGCTATGATTATTTGCTGCCATTATTGATGAAAAATGGGGAAGATGATAAGTCTATTTCTACAAAGACTGAATCCCTACACTCTGCCGGAAGTCACTTTTCCCCTCTGCTGCCCCACCCAGAGCCAGGCAGTCTCCAAGTGTAGGAATGCCTGTTAGCTGGCTGAGCAGACCAGGCAAGGAGATGCCAAAGCTGCCGTCCCAGCAGAGCGCGTGTTCCCTGGGTGGTGCCCCTTGGAGTTGTGCAGTGCACAACGTGGGCTCCTGGCCATGGCAGCTCTGCACTGAACCTAGGATCCAGGCTCCCTGGCACTTCATGGAAAATGCCCTATTTTTCCCTCTGAGCAGGTGATTCTCTGACATACCACAACAACTACCCCTTCTCCACCAAAGACCGAGACAACGACCAAGATGCTGAAAACTGTGCTGTGCGCTATCAGGGAGCCTGGTGGTATGCCACCTGTCACCTGTCAAATCTGAATGGTGGCTACCTCGGGGGGGCCCATGAGAGCTTTGCAAATGGCATCAACTGGAATTCGGGGAAAGGGTACAACTACAGCTACAAGGTGTCAGAGATGAAGGTGCGGCCCACCTAACCCAGCGCTGAGGTCAGAGGGTCTCTCCACGCACCCTGGCTGGAGGAGCGCATCCCTTAGCCTTCACCAAGAGGGCAACGTGGGTATCGTGGCCCCCATCCTCATGGAAAGAGGGAGCTCCCACCAGTCCCTTGTAGGCATGGCCCGCAGAGCTTTGCGCCCAGTGCCAGCGTCCAGCCCCCTGTCTCCCATCTGCAAGGTTAGGCGAAGCCCCAGCGTGCCTCCCTCACCGCAGCTGTCAGTGCTTGCTTGCCTCACAGGTGATCATGGAATGCCATGGCTATTTGCCCTGCCCTGACCACTGGCCATGCCACTGTGCTGCTCATCCGTCCTTGCTTCCCTGTGACTTGGCCCTGTGGGTGGATCAGATGCCCTAGGGCTGAGGGGGTTTCCCATTGGCTAAGACAAAGTAGGGCCGCCCTGCCTGTTTGTGAATAAAGTTTTATCGGCACAGCCATTCCCATGGCTTCCATATTGTTTCTGGTTGGTTTCTATCATCTCTGGCAGTTTCCAAATGCCAGGCAGAATAGAGTAGTTGGGACAGAGGCCATATGACTCACAACTCCTAAATTGTGTGTTAATCAGTCCCTTACAGAGAGTGTTCGCTGACCCCTGCACTCACAGCCACCTGACCCCGGCTGCCTGGCCCCTGCTCTGCCCACTTGGTCCCCCTGCAGGGGCTTCCTGCCACCTGCCTCCTAGGGTCCCCTGTTGTACCAAAGGTGATTGCGTGCACGTGAATCCCTCATCAAGAATGAAGCAAAGATTTGAAGGAGGCAAGTGGGTGAGATGGATCTGAGACCACGGGAGAGGGAAAGTCCTCCTCCCTCAAGCATTTCCTCTTGGAAGTAGCCGGAAGGCTGAGCCCACAAAACGGTGGGTTGCATAAGGCCTGACAACACCTGTTTTTCTCCTAGTCAGCCAAGCAGGCCCTCTCCTGGGACCACCTGCCCGAAGCCCAGACCCAGCAGAGGACGGAGGGTTCCCCCCAGCCTCAGTCTGTCTCTCCTGGAGAGGGCTCAGACCCCTGCAGGCTCCCGTCCCCACCTCTGGAACTCAGGGCCCTCTCTGGGCCTCTGGCTTTGCTTTTGCTTCTGTTAGTCTCTCCCAGGCCTCCTTCTGCCTTTTATCTGCTCCACTCAGCTCGCCAGATGGAAATGCACGCAGGTCCAGCGCGGCTGCTGTACAGATGACTCTTCTCAACCTGTGACCTACAGGGACCCATAAGCCACCAGCAGAGCCCTTGAGGGGCTGAGGCCCGCAGGGGAGGGTGTGCGGAGCATGGAGGAGCCTTGGCTCCTGCTCTCAGGTGCTCCTGGTGCAGGTGAGGGTATGTGATCATGGAACAGGCCCCTCAGATGGGCACCACACTGTTCCTGAGCTCCCGCTGTCTGCAAGCACCCATAGACTGCATAAGGGGGACAGACAGCTGCAGGAGGTGGGGGGCCCACAAATTCCTGTTGTTAGGGGGCTTCACATGGGGTGGGTTTGCCCCAGGCCTGGGAGGATGAATCGGATCTGACTCTGGTGGTCCTTCTGTCTACTCTTGGACTCCCCCGCAGACAGCCCCTGGACTAGGCAGGGTTCCTCTGCCCAAGGGACATCCTGGCCTGAAGGAGTTAATGTGGAGGTGGCTGGTGGCACCTGGCAAACCCCCTGCCGTGGGACACTGGATGCCAGCTTCCCCGAGTTCTTCTGGCCGCAGCTCCGTGTGGGAGACAGCGGCCGCCAGCACATTGTCCCCGCTGAGGCAGCAGGTCTTGCAGCCCCACGGCTGTGACTCCATTGCCTGGAGCCTTGTCCACCCGGCCCTAGTGTGGGTGCAGGGGTCCGTGGCTCACTGGGAGGGCTGAGGATAGACCTGGGAATGGCAAGGGCCAGGGGGTGCCCAGAAATTCCCAGCCCCAGCCTTTACCCTGGGGATCCTGACGCCTGCCACTCCCTGCCCCTCCACCGCCTGGCCTCTGAGTTCAGCTTCCCCCCTGGGGGGTGCCGAGCCCACGTTACCTTCGTGGAGGGAGGCCGCGCCTGAGTGGCAGCAATGAGTGTTCTCGGGGGTGCCCTGGGTGCCTCCCGTACTGAGCCCCAAGCAGCCACAGTGAGCAAGGGGACCCTACCCTGAGCACAGAGCCCTGCCCCGCGGAGGGACAGCCAACCCACTGCTGACCGCACAGCCGCTGTGCTGTGATAAAGGAAGGGGGACTCGGAGAGCACGGTGTGAGCCCCCAGACTCTGAGTCATCACAGATGCTCTCAGGGGAGGGGAGAGGACACCGAGCCCCAGAGGAGGGAGAGGTATCAGGACGAAGGTGGGGTGGGAGGGAGGCGGGAGGGAAGCTGGCAGAAGGCAGCTTGTGCGCTTGGAGCCTCCTCCCTTAAGTGGGTCAGAATCCTCACTGCACAGGCCTCCTCCCGCACCAGAACTAGGCTCGGTGGTGCCCTCCCTCCATTCCCCACCCAAAGGCGCTGCCCTCTGACCCCGGAGCCGGGCGACCCCATTCCCACTGCAGCCGACGTGCTTTTTAGTTTCCTTGCCCAAAGTGTGTTTTGTTTTCTAATACGCCTTGTATTTTTATTTACTTATTTGAGCACTACGAAAGACGCTGAGTGGGCAGGCCTGGGTGTTATTACGGTTGCCACTCTTCTATAATTTACTCAGAACGTGTGATCCGAATCAGGCAGGACCGTATTCCTCGTCCAACCCAGTGTCCAGCGCTGAGGACTGGTGGAACGGGTTGTCTCTGCTATGGATTCCCACAGCTTGGCCACCGAGTGTGGTTTTCGCGGTTTGTGGTTTCTGGGATCGCTGACCACATCCTGGTCTGGGGCCACTGTCTGGGCCATCCCTGCGTCCTCCTGCTTGGCAGTTTGATGGGGGGGCACATGCCTGGCATCTCGAGGGGTCACCTCATCATCCTGACCAAGAAAAGGGCAGGAAGTAGAGAGGAGTGGGACTGGGCTGTGCTGCTGTTGCGTGCTCACTCCCCTGTGACCGCACGCTGAGCCCACACCCACTCCTCTGTTCTTCGCCTCTCTCTGGCTCTGGGGCCCCAGACCCTCTGGGACCAGGGAGCTATGCAGAGTGGGCACTGGGCTCCCTGCTCGGCCCCTCCCGAGCTCCTTCTGGAACCCAGTGCCGAGAGGGAGGATGTGGGTCTGTGGGCAGGTGGAGGACTGTGATGGGCAGGAGTCCTGGCTGCCCCTCACCCGAGAAAAAAGGCCCCTGAGAGCCATCAGAAAGCTTATGCTCTGGGTCCCGTAGGATTTTCTTTTCTAAGAGCCTACAGGAGTGTACTTGACATTGAATAAGCTACAAGGCTTTGAAGTGTACAACTTGAGTCGCTTGACAGAGGACGCACCCGTGAAACCAGCACCACCGTTGAGACAAGGAACAGATCTGTCACCCCCAGAAGCTTCCTCATTGTAATCCCACCTCCATCCGGCCCCACTCGTTGTGTCCCCAGGCAATGTCTGCACTTGTCTTTGTCAGTACAGCTTGTTTTCCTAATATTTTTTATGAGTGAAATCATATACTATCCACTCTCTGTTGCCTGTCCTCCTCTCCTTGGCAGACGTATTTTAAGGGTCATGATGTTGTACTGTGCACAGCGGTTCGTTTCCTTTCACTGCAGAGTCACACTCCGTGTGTGGATGGACCACAGCTGTGCATCCATTCCGGTGTTGATGGACATTTAGGTTGCTTCCAACTTGGGCCACGACAAACCAGGCTGCTATGAACCTCTGTGCACAGGTCTTTGTGTAGATATATGGTTTCATTTCTCCTGGGTTAATATCCAGGCTTGGAAATTGTTGGATTGTCCAGTAGGTATATTAGTCCATTCTCACACTGCTCATAAAGACATACCCAAGACAGGGTAATTTATAAAGGAAGGAGGTTTAGTGGACTCACAGTTCCACATGACTGGGGAGACCTCACAATCATGGCAGAAGGCAAAGGGGGAACAAAGTCACGTCTTGCCTGGCAGCAGGCAAGAGAGAGCGTGTGCAGGGAAACTCCCCTTTATAAAACCATCAGATCTCGTGAGACTTGTTCACCATCAGAACAGCACAAGAAAGACCTGCCCTCGTGATTCAATTACCTCCCACCATGTCCTTCCCACATGGGAATTATGGGAGCTACAATCTGAGATTTGGGTGGGGATACAGCCAAACCGTATCAGCAGGTATGTTTTTAGCTTTTTGTGAAATTGCAAAGCAGTTTTCCAAAAAGGCTGCCCTGCTTCGTCCAGCAGTGCAAGAGAGGCTGGTCTTCCACATCCTTGTCAGCACTGGGTATCGTCAGTCCTTTCAGGTTGGGCCATTTTCACAGGGGTATGGTGACGTCTCATCATGTTTTGTTTCCATTTTCCTTATGACCAATGATGTTGAACATCTTTCATAGGCTTATTTGCTTTATATCCATACATCTTCTTCAGTGAAGCATCCTTTCACATCGTGTGCCTGTTTTCCTAATTCGAGGGTTAGTTTTGTTTTTACTGAGTTTGAAGAGTTCTCTCTGTGTTCTGAGTACTACCCCTTTATCAACTGTATGTGATTCATGAGAGCCTCTTGCTGCTGTAAGATAATTACCACAAGCTTAGAGGCTTACAATCACAAAAAATTATTATTCTACAGTTGTGGAAGTTAGAAGCCTAAAATCAAATTATCAATAGGGCTGGGTTCCTTCTGGAGGCTTCTGGGGAGAATCTGCTTCATTGACTTTCCCAGCTTTTAGAGACTGCTGCATGATAACTCATGGCCCCTCCCTTCATCTGCAAAGAGTGTGGCTCCAAACTTGGCTTCTGTCCTCATTGCCTCCTTTTCCTCCCTGACCCTAACTCTACTGTTCCCCATTTAGAAGGACCCTTGGGATTACATCAGGCCCACTCAGAGAAGCCAGGATCATCTCCCCGGGTCACGACCCTTCATCTCATCTGCATTTTGCCATGTATGGTCGATGGGCTTTGGGGCCATTCTTCAGCCTGCAACATACGATTTGCAAATATATTCTCTGAATCTGTGGCTAGGAAAAGTCGATGATGTTAAGCTGCCTATTCTCCTGAAATTGATCTGCAGATGCAATGCAGTCTAAATGAAAATCCCAGCAGCCCTGTTTTTGTACAAATCGAAGTTGATTCTTCAATTTGTACAAAAGTAGGGCTGCTAGGATTTTCATTTGAACTATGGCTTTCTTTTTATTCCCTTAACACAGCCTTTCAAATGGCAGAACTTTTTTTTTTCTTGAGATAGGGTCTTGCTCTGTCACCCAGGCTGGAGTGCTGTGGCTCAATCTTGGTTCACTGTAACCTCCACCTCCCAGGTTCAAGCGATGCTCATGCCTCAGCTTCCCAAGTAGCTGGCATTACAGGTGTACATTAACACTCAGTTAATTTTTTGTATTTTAAGTAGAGATGGGGTTTCACCATGTTGGCCAGGCTGGTCTCAAACTCTTGGCCTCA